AAAAGGTCTCCAGGCAGCCTACTTGGTGACTAGCACTGCCTCTCTGCAGAGGATGCAGCCACCCACATTCAGGGCTGCCCCCAAAGTGGGGGCCAGGAAACCAGAACTGCAAAGGGGGCAGCAGAGAAGGCAGCTGAGGCCCTAAACAGAAAAAGGTGGGGGTGGCAAGGGCTTTATATTCCTGCTGTTTAGAAAAGCAAGCTAAGGTTCGAGCAGCAAGCCCATCCATGTCACTTACTGTACGCTCAGCAGTAACGGAAGTCAGTCTAGTGTCAGGACTTGACACCCAGGAGACTGTTGTAAACATGACGACTTTGTTTCCATCAAGGATAGGTAAGAGAGGGAGCCTCGCAAGGAGAGGAGGCAGCAAAATACAATTTAAAAAAGAAAAGCGGTGCGCTGACTCCTAAAAAGAGCAGGGGCTTGGCTGGGAGAGGAGTAACGAGCCAGCCTGGGTCCTGGAGAGCAGCAGTGACACGTCCCCTCTACCCAGACCTGGGCTGAGGAGTTCCTCTCAGGGTTCCCTGGTGGCAGGTGAAGAGGCCTCCAAGCAGCCTCTGACATAATCAGCTGTAAGTGCACGCCCCTCGCTGTCACGTGGCTTAAGCTTTCCTTAACAATAGTTTTCCCTTAGAGGGGGCGGAGGGGTAGGGATCTGTAGAAAAGCTGGGACACAGAAGTGTTATAAAACAACCCAGAAAGACAGACGCAGGAAAACGGAAAACAAAAGACATGTGTGCCTGACTCCTCAGCTTCCTCTTCCTGAAAATGATCCTGCTTTCCTACCCCTCTTACTGTGTGTAACTCTGTTCTCTCCTTTTTTGTTTTTCAGACCCTCCCTCCCTCCACAGCTCTCAAAGATTCAGGTGTGCCTCCTCTGATCCAAACAGCCACCGCTCGCCCACCTCCGTATCTGCCATTTACACAGACAAAGGGTTTCAGCCCTCCAACAGCCCCCACCTGATCCCAAGGCCCAGGTTGTCAGGTCTCACCGTCCCCACAGTAACCAGGCTCTGCTGCCGTCAATGGAGAAGAGGGGGCGGGAGACAGTGCTGACGTCAAAGCGGAGGAAGGAGGCGGGGCGAGGCAGCCGGGGGAATGTGGGCCAGGGCGACTGGAGAGGCAGCGGTTTGGGAGGGAGCCAGCCCCAGAGGGCGGCGGCCAGCGCACTAGGGAACATCGTGTTCTCTTGGCTGGTGGCCCAGGACAAGCACGCAGACTTGGCGCCTCCCCCAACCCAACGACAGCCGTCCCGTACAAAAGCCAGGGATTCCTGGAGAGACGGTTAGGAAGGAGGAAGGGGTCCCCCTTCCCTGACCCCATGCCTGACTCTCTAGTCGAGATTTGTGTTGGTGGGCTCCCAGCTGGCTCTTACAGCTCCTGGCCTTGGCTTTTCCCTTTCACCAAACTGTACACAGCTGCTGGCCAGGTACCAAAGAGCCACCGCGGGTAAATCGGAGGCCCAGGTACAGCGAGGGAACGCGCACCTTTGCTCCTTCCTAGAGGGGCCACTTTCAGAGGCGGGATTTCTAGTTACTATTACAACACAGCATAGGTGGGAGGGGGTCGGGGGAGCTGGATTTAGGATGAGGGAGTCAAACTGGGACAGAGTAAGTAGCCTCTGTCTGGAGCCCAGATCTTGGGAGAGGAATACAGGGGAGGAATGATGGAATTTGGGCTGCTGCCTGCAGACCAGAAAAGTCAGGAAGAGGGAAAAGAGGAGTCATCAAAACTTGCAGAAAAACAGAAGATGAGGGTTATTCTGAGCCACAACATTCACATAAATCCTTATTACTATCGTTTTGTTATCTTTTAATTTCTGTTTTAAATGACCCAAGTGTTAGACTAAGTACTTTACATATACTGTTCTTTTTTAAGCCCCAGAACAACTGACAGTAGGTATCACCCTCCTTTCAGAGGGACAACTCAGACTTAGGAGGTACTACACTTGCCTTAATTTTCTGCTTCATAAAATGTTCTCAGTTTCCTAATAATGGAGCCTGAGGTTTAGGCTCTGATGATGGCTAGTCCTTCTGCCTTCCACCCTCAGGGCCCCTGTGAAGTCACCGAGCCTCTACTCTGCATTCCTGCACGGTCAAGCCAGGACCTCTCAAACAGTCCCCTGCTTCTAAGTTTGGTGCCTAGAACACAAGCTGCATCCAGTTCCCTCTTCCCTCTCAGCCTGATCTCAAGGCATTGTTTCTACTACACACACATCACCGCAGTTCATTTTTTTTTTTCAGTGCTCAAAAGCATAGAGATCCATTTGAGAAGTCTCCAACTACAGTGCTTTCCTAGGAACCTCACTTCCTCCCTCTTCCACCTCCCCCAGACCTGACTAGACACCAGAGCAGCTTTTTTGGTGCCTCCTCACCTCTAGCAGCTCTTTGAGAGGAGTGGGCAAGCCGGTGATACAGAAGCTCTCTACCCTCTTCTTTCAAAACCAACAAACTGCTAGCCCATTTCTGTTTGCAAGCAGGTCTCTGAGACCCCGATGCTGTCCTTTCCGCATGAAACAGTAACCCAGAGTCGTGATGCGACAGTCTGCGAGTCAAACAAATCGGCACACCAACCTTTCTCGGGTCACCACCCCACGCTCCCACCTGCCCTACCAGGGCAGGGCCTTTCTCCAGGCTCCGACTCCCTGCCTCTTCCAAGAGGAGCCCACCCAACCTTAAACAGCTCTCAGGCTTCCTAAGGCAGGCGCCTCAGCTCGCTCGGGAGGCTGAGGGTTCCTGAGCATTCCGCGCTAGGCAGTGGGGTCCGGGGACCCTGGAGAGGTGAGACATCTGATACTGGTACCTCCCACTGACGTTCCCCTAGAGCTGAGTTTGCAGCCCACAACCATCCTACTGCAGCGAACACGCCTTTGCATGATCCCACACACACACCACGCCATCGACACCCCTTTTGGCCGAGTACATCTCCACAGGAAGAACAAAATCAAAACAAAAAAAAAACACTTCGACCGCCCCGGAGTAGGGGGCTACTCACAGTTTCGACAGCACACATACATAATCCAAATTTCTTCACTATTGGGGACATTGGGTAGCTATTCCACAGGCTCCTCCAGGCCCTCCCTCTGTCCATTCTGTCACGCCTCCCAAGCTTATTGGCTTAGAGGCGCCAACCCATGCCCCGCTCCGCGTGCTGCAGACAAGCCCTTGCAAAGCCACCATTGGCACTTCAGGGCGCAGTCATCTTGCCATTGGATAACTTGACAACCGGTAGTGACAGGGCCACGTGAGGGAGGGGGCGACCCAGCGCGTTGATTGGACATCCCACAGGAAGCAACACCCCTCACCCACTCCCAAGGCTTTTATTGGCTGTGGAAACAACCCCGCCCTACCTAAGTCAGTGACGCAAACGCTAGCCCTGCCCTAAAAACTTTCTCATAGGCTGAGGTCTCGGAGATGTAGGGAACACGTGCAGGCCGGCTCACGCGGCAACTTGTTTACCGAGAACCTGGGGATTTTCCTTGACGACACTTACCCAAGACTGTGGAGTCTGCGCAGGCGTACCGAGCGACTTGTACGCAGGCGTAGATATGATAGGCTATGGCGTAGTGGGGATACTTTAAAGAGACCCCGAGAGGCTCCTGGTGCCCGAGTTTTGTTTCTCTGATTATCCCCAAAGCTTAAGTCTGAGCATTAGCGTGAAGAGGTCTTTATATTGTATGACGATGATGGTGAAAATGACCGCCTCCTATCTGTTTTCTGTGCCAGACGCTTCTTGCCAAGGCCGGCTCACTACTCATAACCTCACAAGAGACAAGATGCAGGGGTTACATAATCAGTCAGAATTCCCATGTTAACATGTTGATGAAAAAGCTATGACACCCGTGAAGGTATGTCGATGTTAGGGTCTATGGAAAGCTTAAACCTCTAAGTAATTTCAGGGATTAAATGCAAAAAGCCTAATATATTTAAACTCTCCATAAAGGGAGTTAGGATAGAGTAATGCTAAATACAAAACACCTGGGCACCTTAGACCCTCTAGAATAATCTCCAATGTAAGGGCCTGAAAAATCTATTTTTAGTAATGCCTCTAATAGTTCTTATTTCTTGGCAAGGTGAGGTGGCACACACCTTTAATCCCACACGAAAGAGACAGAAAGGCACTTGGATCTCGAGGCCAGCTCACTCTACATGGGTTCCAGGGCAGTCAGAGCTGCATGGTGACACCCTGTCTCCCCACCCCGCCCCCCAAAAAAGTTATTTTATTTTTATTTAGGCAGGATCTCACTATGAAGACTAGGCTGGCAGCATGTTTAAGGCACACACCACACCTGGCCCTCTAGTGGTTCTTAGACTCACTTCTCTCTAGGTTCAACAGCCCTGGATAGGCAAGGATCACCAACATCCAGCAAGTACCACACACACTGGCAGTGACTAGTCCCTTATACCTTGAACGCAGAGGGAAACACTGCTTCTTTCCTACACAGCTACATCTCAGTGATGCCCCTGAAGTGTGTATATGCGGACAGGGGTACTTACAGAGCTTTAAGAGTTCAAGAGAGGGGCTAAAGTGACAATCACACAACCAAGTGCAAGGGTAGTATGCCATCTATAGCCAGCTTTATGCCACAGTTGGCTTTGTCTCATCAAGCTGATCTTTCAAGCATTCATCTGGATGTCTGGTGCTGAGCTGTAAAGGGGACGAAATGCCCCCACAGAGCAACCCAGGAGAGGATGGCTTTGAAAGAGCCTAAGGGGTAGCCAGGAATTCAATGGTAGCAGCATACTCAAGGCCAGGGAGTGGAGAGCTGGGAACCTCAGGCTGTAGAGTTCACCTGGCTTAGACACACCAGATTCCTTAGTGATTCTCATCTCCTAGTGCCCCACATGGCCACTTCGGGAATCACACTTTGCAAGGGCCCAATTGAGGTCATGCCCCCCAGCAACAGGCCAGCTCCTCCCAATGAATCTTTTCCACTCCATTCCATTATACCTGAAGATCCAATACTCTTAATCCTGGTTAAGAAAGACTGTAGACACCACCTGGTTACTCATTACACGTTTATTGTACATTTTCACAATCTGGATGCGCCACAGAATTGGGGGCATGGGGAAGGGGAAGAAGGAAGGCAGGGGACACTGGGATAATATTGGGGGTCTAGAACACAAGCACCCCCACCCCCAGCATCTCTCCTACCCTTTCACACCACAGTTTAGATCTCCTTGGTTCCCCTCCACATAGAAAACCTGGTGTGTAGGGGGGAAGAGTTTGGGGACACTCCCCCCACCGTGGTAGGTTAAGGGGCTGTACCCTCAGACCCCTAAAACTGTGCCATTTTAAAAGACTAGATCCTTCTTCTATCATTTCACCCAAAAAGGGAATAGCTTGCACTCTCTCTCTCTTTCTCTCTCTCCCCCACTCTCTCTGGGCTTAACAGCCCTGGAGAAAGGTGAGGATCCCCACCATCCAGCAAGTCCCATACACATATTGGCAGTGACTAGTACCCCCACCCTGAATACAGGGGGGCAGTCAGAGGAGCTGGGCAGTGATGGGGGGCAACACCCACCCCCAGATTGGGGAGGAAAGTTTTCATTCCAACCTCTAGCAAGTAAGAGGCCAGATATTTCAGGCAGGAATTGGGGGGATTCTAGTTTGTCCTGCTCCTCCCCAAGGCAGTGATGACACACACACACTGGAGCCACCCCTCCTCAAGGAATCAGATTGTGGTCAGCCCCCAATTCTCCTGGTGGGAGGAGGAGGCAGATCAGGCAGATGGGAGGGAGGGAGACCTCCTGGGAATGTCAGTTGAGTGCCCCACATGAAAACTGGGGAGCAGGAATGTAGGGAGAGACCCCGAGTGGCAGAATTATTGGTCCATCATAACACACTGAACTCCAAGACACACACCAGCTGGGGGGGAGGAAGAGGAGGGTACAAGAGGTTTGGGAAATGGGGTAAGGGAGGTAAACTAGACTAGAGGGGCTGGAGGGGGCAATTCTGGGGCCCAGAGCAGCCTGGTTCCCCAAAAGCCTAGGCTCCCCACCACCTGCAGGTAATGTCGTGCAAATGAAGTGTGATAAGAGGACCAATGGAGACAAACTCTTCAGAAAAGAAAGAAAACAGAGAAGAGTGATGGAACAAAAAGGAAGAAAACGCAAAAGATGTTGGTATGCAAATGATATGCTAATTAATATCTTGGAAGCTCCCAGAAAACCTTGGAATTCTTAGGACCAAGTGGGACCAGTCTCAGAGCCTTCCAAGGGATACAAGATGCAACCTAGGGAAGCCTGGACAGGTGGGAGTTTTTGTTTGTTTCTGTGGAGTTTGCTTTTTGTTTCGGGAGGGTCAGGAATTGTAGAGGGAAGCTAGGGAAGGGCCAGTTAAATCCAAGGGAAGGAGGAGAGGGGCTATTGCATAGCAGATGCAAATGAGGGGACTTGGGGCTATCAGGAAAAGAGGAAAAGGGACAGAGGATGAGAGAGAGAGGTGAGGGGAACCTCAGGAAGGGGTGTTAAGGACAACCGGAAAAAATCTTCTAGTAATAAAACTACAAACAGACCAAATATATATAATATTATATATGTATAAATAACAGCTGGCTATTTACAGGGGGCACACACACGGACACACACACACGGATCCAAGGGAGGGGGGCTGAAAGATATGGCTGAGAGGTGGAGGAACGGCTGGGGGTGGGAGAGAGGCCCTTCTTAGGCAGGGCAGACTCCTCAGGGATTTAAGTGCTGAAGTAAACTGTGGAGAGAGGGCGAGAGGAGGACAAGGGAGAGGGGTAGAAAGAGAAAGAAAGCAGTGTGTCAGGCCTGGCCCTGTTCCAAACCTCCCCACTCCCCAGCTGGCTGGCATCCCTTCCCCTCTCTGAGCCTCAGTTTCTTCACCAATATAACAAGGGAACTTGACAAGTGGGTATTAAGAGTTTGTAAACTCCATAATAGGGCAAAGGAGCACAGAACCTTTAATCCACTGGGCATCCAAGAGTGGAGTACTTGGTTTCCTGGTCGCATCCAAGCCCCTCAACCCTCACTGTCTTCCACTCCCCAGTTCTAGGATCCCCAGACTTGGCTCTCTTAGACCCAAAGGGTTCTGAGTGGAGCGCCAGGGACTCACCCAGTAGAATTATCTTCAAAATCTTAACAGAAATTACCCAGAACCAGGCAAAGTAAGGCTATACAACAGCCTAGTTTTTTGGCTCTAGATGAATCAGAACTGCCAATAGCAGCAAAATGTGTTTTCGTTGAAGAGTAAAAACTAGGTTAATGACCTTCAAAACCCAGAATCCACGGGGAAAACCTCTACCTCTCCAGGGAAAGGGCCTTGGCCACTCCTGCCCCACTCACCGATGATGATGATGAGGATGATGGCGCAAATCACTCCCAAGATTATCATCATCTAGGAGCGAGAGGGAGGGTCAATGAGACCAACGGTGCCGCCCTCAGTTGCCCATTGGCCCTCCGACCTGTCCCCATCTCCTGCCCCCTTACCTTGAGGTTTTTCCACCAGTATTTGCGCTTGAGCTTGGCTGCACTTGTTTCAAATTGGGAGGCCCCTGCCTGGAGGGCATCTGCACGATCATCCAGCTCCGATAGCTTCTGGTCCCGCTCCAGGACCTTGTCCACATTCACCCTCATGATATCCACCACCTGGGGGGAGGGGTCCACGAGGCAGGGGGTGTGCCAAGGCACGCCTCAAGGAGGGCACTTCTTGAACATGTGCCCATTGTGCCACACATGGAGCATGCACCCGATGTTTCCAGGCTAACATGCCAAGGACATACATAGAACATGCCTAGCACACCTGGGGACATGCAAGGAGCACACATCAGGGGCATGCTGCAGCCATACACTTCAGATGCCACAGCAACACCCTCTATATGGATCAGCCTATGACCAGAGCACACCTGCCCCAGCTGGCACACCCCAGCCTAGCACAACTGATTAACACCCCATAACCCTTCAAGCGCATGCTGACAGGGAAACAGATGGGACACGGTGGGTCTCTGACCCAAAACCCACAAGCGTAAACTGTCATCACCTTCAAGCCAAGATGGGCTCCCACACCTATCTGCCAACCCCATCATCTTGCACCTTTGACACACACACACACACTCACCTCATCCACCTGGGCCTGGGTCTGCTGCAGTCTCCTATTACTGGTAAGATTTGGAGGGGGTGCAGGGGGGCCACCCTCGCCGGCCGGGGCGGCAGGCGGGACAGTGGCAGCGGTAGCCGACCTAAGGAGGAGAAACGGATTAAGATTCAGGGCCTGAAGCCTCGGGCCCCGCGGCCGGGGCTCCACCCATCCACCTGTCCATCCATAGTCCCTCCAGTCTTCCCTTGAGCGAGGAAAAGCCACCCGACGGGAAACCCTGTCACTCTACGGCCCCGCTGCGGTTGAGCTGCGTGACCTTGAGAGACCCTCCTCGTGCCTCAATTTCCCCGCCTGTTAAATGAAAGCGACCTCAGAGATGCTGCTCGGGGTCGACCCGAAATGACTGACAGCCATGGTGGCTGGGGCGGGGCGGGTGGACGCCGGGTCCGCTCCCTCCCGCGGCCATCGCCCGGGCCAGACCGCCTGGGACCGGTTCCGGGCGTCCAGGCGCAGTCATGGGCACCAGCCTGGTCCACCGCGTGAGAGGCGCGGGCGGGACCCCCGTGTTTCCCGGCCCACTCCTCGGGGTGGCGGCCCGCGCGGGGCAGAACGTCGCGGGTGGCGAGTGGCGGGCGCCCGACTTACATGGCGGGGGCAGCGGGCAGAGGACTTGGCAGAGGCAGTGATGGCGGCGGCGGCGGCGGCAGCGGCGGCTCGCGCTGGCTCCGACTGGCTCTGGCTGCCCGGGACTGGAAGATGGCGGCCGCACGTCACCCGCATCCGGGCACTGCGGCGGGGGCGGGGCGCGGCAGGCGACACGTCGCTAGCAGACCGCGGGGGCGGGGCGCTGCAGGGCCTGGGGTCGTCTAGCTGGGTCTGTGGGCCCTAGTGGTGAACCTGGCTCGCAAATCACCCCTGTCCCCTAGGCGTCTGCCGCCTGCCTCTTTTGGCACCCACAACCGAGACCCACACCTCACCCTCATCCTTGAAGCTGATGCACCGGTCCTTACCTCAAACAGCCTAAGGTCTCACCCTACAACCTGGTCCCAACACCTGGTGACCCGCCCTTGGCTCCTGGAAAGGGTTGAGGGTGGAAAACAAGAAGCAACCAAGGCAGGTGCCAGGACAATACTGATAGCTGGAATCCTGACGCTGGGGTGGAGGGCAATTGTGAGACCTGACCTCACCCTGCAACTGAATGTCTCAAGGGAGGTCTGGAGCCTCTGATTTTCTAGCAGGGTATGAGCAAAAGGAGTTAACAGAAGACACCCCAGCACACACACACACACACACACACACACACACACACACACACACACCAAGGGCTGTGAAAACCGCCCCTCCTCACAGATAAAGTAAATTCAGACCAGGTGTGGCTGGCAGTCAAAACTGGAGCAGATCCCACAAAGATTAGACAATCTTAAAGACTCTAGGAAGGGCAAAGCTGACTGATGTTGATGATGGTAACCGCAGGCTGGTCCCAGACAGGGGTCAACGGTCCAGCCCCAGCTTAGGTTCTAGCATAGGGACCGGGCCGAAAAAGAACAGTGGGCAGGAGTGTGACACCTGCAGGGCGCGTGTTGTAGGCACTGCTTCACCTGCAGATTAGCCTCACAGACATGACCTTGGCAGGGCCCTAAATACGTCACACGTGTAGACTCTCAATAAATATTTGTTAAATGGCTTGATCTAGATAACACAATAGGAGATTATCTGAGACCTGGTCCATCCCTGGACTGCTCCCTTTTAAGTACACTGACTGCCACAGCAGCTGTACACACGCCCATCCTGCATCTAGAGACCGACCAGAGAGCCAGCTGTCTCTTTAGCAAGCCTCCAGGGTGCAGGAGGCATTTTAGGGGAGGACTAGTGGCTCTGAGTTGGGAATACTCATTACATCCCTAAGAGAGCCTTAATCTCAGAGACAGGCAGGCAGGCTCTGGCTTCCTTCCTCCCACTCCAGGCTTCCCAAGGCCTCCGGAGTGTGAGATCCTCCTGCTGCAGTGCCCCACCCCCTCCCAGCAGACGCCCCAGGACCGGTTCTGTCGTGAGAGGTGTTATTTCCCAGCTGTCTGGGGGAGGTGAATGAGCAGGGGAGTGCGTGCTGGGTGCAGGATTCGCTCTTGGCTGTCTTCCTCTCTCAGAAGCCATGAGCCTGATCTTTGTTTCGGCTGAGCTCCTGAAAAGAACCACTTTGGTGGGGGGTCTCAGATCAGCTGTGAGGCTCTTGTTTTCTGTCCCTGAGACCACTCTAATCACAGAACAACAAAGATGCCAAATTCCATTATTTCAAGTTCAAATGCTTTAGTGTCTGAATAGGAGACATCTCTGAGGGTAGGAAAAGAGTAACTGTAAGCAGAGCCACACACACAGCCCAGTACTGGGACTGAACTAGAAGGGAAACAGTAAATCTCAGATCCGGGTTTAGCCAAACGCAGAGGGCAGAGGATATGGGAGAGAGAAGAGTCACAGACAAATCTGGGGAGGCTCGGCCTTGGCATATCGCTGGGAAAGTTGTCTTCCCAGGGGACTCTGGGGACAGCAACAGCAGGGTAAAACTGAAGGCACCTGTGAACAGTGGAAAGGACCCAGTGGATTCACTTAGAGAGGGGACTGTCACTGCACAGCCCAGCCCACCTCGGCTGTGGTGTTAAGAACTAAATTTAGATCAATGCTGGGGGTGGGGGAGGCTTTGGCAGAATAACCGAGTTCACCTGGAAATGTGTCGAGACTGTTTTCTGAGACTGAATAGATGAGCTGCAGAAAAGCACACACGGTATCTGTGAGCCCGAGAGGCTTGCTTCCCACGCTGGCCTGCTTCCGGGGATTGGTGGCAGAACTGCTAGGCCCGGGTCCTGAGCTCATTATAGGCTTAGTGGAGCATGTTCATACCCCTGCACTCGGATGGTAATGGGGGGGAGGGTGCTAAGACAGTCTGCCAAGTGAGATAGCCTGGGGCCTGGAGATGATGGCTCAGGGGTTAAGACTATTTACGGCTGGTCCAGTTTCCCACACAGCAGCTTGCAGCCATCTGTAATTCCAGTCCTAAGAGATCTCACCATTTCTGGGCCCTCTGGACTCCACTGTGCACAGGCATACATGCAGGCAAAACTTCCATACACATAAAAGTAGTTGTTGTTTTTAAAAGAGTTAACAGAAACAAAACCCTCAAAGGTAAGAACAAAAATAAAAAAATATGCAGGAGAGGAGTGAGGCCAACGTTTATTTCTGTTGTTGTTGGGTTTTTGTTGTTGTTGTTTTCTCTGTGTAGCCCTGGCTGTCCTGGAACTCCCTCTGTAGTCCAGGCTGACCTCGAACTCACAGAGATCTACCTGTCTCTGCCTCCCGAGTGCTGGGATTATTAAAGGATGCGCCATCACTGCCCGGCCCTAATGGTATTTCTTTGCCAAGTCGTTTTATAGTGAAAGGTGACATATGCACACAGAAGTCACATCTTGTGGCTGGAGAAGTGGTCCTTACTGCTCCTCCAGAGGAGTTCTGTTCCCAGCAATCAGAGTAGTGATATAAAAACCACCTGCAACCACAGCTCCCGGGGATCTGCAGCCCTCATCCAGGACACAGACCAGCACAAATAACCTACAACCACAGCCCCAGGGGATCTGAAGCCTCATCCAGGACACAAATAAAAACTATTATCTTATGGGGTTTTAGACAGGGTTTCTTTATATAATAGACCTGGCTGTCCTGGAAGTCACTTATGTGCACCAAACTGGCTTCAAACTCACACAGATTCTCCTGCCTTTGCCTCCTGAGTGCAAGGAGTAAAGGTATGTGCCACCAAGCCCAGCTATTTTGTTTGTTTTAAAAATTGCATTATAGGGCTGGAGAGATGGCTCAGAGGTTAAGAGCATTTGCCTGCTCTTCCAAAAGGTCCTGAGTTCAATTCCCAGCAACCATATGTGCTCACAAGGATCTGTAATGAGGTCTGGTGCCCTCTTCTGGCCAGCAGGCATACACACAGACAGAATATTGTATACATAATAAATAAATATTAAAAAAAAATTGCATTATGACATGTGGTCATCAAAGGACCACTTACAAGCTTTTCTTTCTTTCCACCATGTTCGGTGATGGACAGGTCATCAAACTTGGCAGCATGTCCTGGTGAGTCATGTTACTGGACCCATTTCTTTGTTCAGACATGGTATCATTTACAGTTCAGACTGGTCTACTGAACTCTGAGATTACAAGTCTATGTCATGGCACCTACCTGTTTTAAATGGTATCTGTTTCATCTGTGTAGTTTTCCCTACCCAAATACAAAGCGCCATGCCAGGAAATTTCTGAATAAAGAAAGATCAAAACAGTGGTGCTTAGTGAAGAGTATTCTAAGTGAGACTCAGAATAAAGAAATACAAAAGTACTAGGGAGTGGTGGCGCCGATCTTTAACCCCAGCACTCAAGAGGAAAAGGCAGGAGAATCTCATCTGAGTTCCAGGCTGTCCAAGGCTGCATAGTGAGATCCTGTCTTTTCTCTCCCCCCCCCCCCAGGGTTTTCTCTGTAGCTTTAGTGCCTGTCCTGGAACTAGCTCTTACAGACCAGGCTGGCCTCGAACTCACAGAGATCCTCCTGCCTCTGCCTCCCGAGTGCTGGGATTAAAGACTTGTGCCACCACAGCCCAGCCAACACCTGTCTTTAAGGGAAAAAAAAATAGTTGTCAGGAGGCAGAGGCAGGTGGATCTCTGTGAGTTTGAGGCCAGCCTGGTCTGTAAGAGCTAGTTCCAGGACAGCCAGAGCTGCACAGAGAAACCCTGTCTCAAGAAAAAAAAAAAATTGTTTTCAGTAATAGAAATAGAGTTTATTAAGGAAAAAAAAAAGGCGCTCCTGAGGGTGGAAGTGAGTTAGTGACCTGGACGGACAGACACTTAAATGTCATTTATTTTATTTCTTCTTACAATTTATTTATTGTATTTGGGGGCAGGGTAGGTCAGAAGACACCTGCTGGAAACTGATTTTCTCCTTCCGCCGCGTTAGTACCAGGAATTGAACAGAGGCTGTCAGGCTCGGCAACAGGCAGTTTACAAGCCAAACCAGCTCTCCAGTCCTGCGCTTTTATCTTTCAAAAGTTACTTAGGAACTGGTGTGGTGCAGGCTTTTTATCCTGCACTGGGGAGGCTCAGAGAGTCAGAGCTACATAGTGACACTCTGTCTCAAAATAAAATAAAATAAAATAAAATAAAATAAAATAAAATAAAATAAAATAAAATAAAATAAAATAAAATAAAATAAAAAGTTATTAAGGGCTGGAATGTAGCTCAGTGGTAGAGTGTGTGACTAGTGTGTTCAAGGGTTTGAGGCCCCATCACCTCAGAAATTTTTTACTGGCATAGTGGCACATGGCTGTAATCCTAACACCCAAGAGTCTCAGGAAGAAAGATCACCATGAATGAGTCTGACGCCAGCCAGACTACACAGGGAGACCTGGTCCCCAAAACAAATTAGTACATAAATTTGTGCTCAGAGCTCCAGAACTTCAGAAGAGCATGCAGGGGGAAAGAGAGTGTCTCTTCTTACATCCCAGGTGCCACATTTCCAATAACTGATAACCCCTGTGCCTCCTTGCAAACACACGTTTTAATCTTTCTTCCTAATGCAAGCAATCTATATATACTGGTCTATTCTGCACTTGGTTTTTCCATTTAACATAATTTGGAGATTGTTCCATTATATGTAGGGTCTAAAACTCACATTTTTTATGATTGTGTAGCATCCTGCTGTATGTCTGTAACGTGCTTTAATCAATCCACTGTAGACTGTCTCTTAACCTTTTGCCAACCTAAACAAAGCTA